CTTGAGGGAGATTGCGCCACTATTGGCAATTCGGCTGTGTGAGTTCCCGAATTTGGAGCTCTTCTTGCTGAAAAGCGGGAGGTTGACAAGAACTTTCAACCACGTTCAGAAGCGCTTGAATTTGCGCGACCCTCCTACAGGAGTTTGCCATCTGTGCCAAGCTGGCCAGCCGAACTGGCCATACGAACCAATACAAACTCGGTCTCTGTTGTGGGAAAGCACGCTCGTTAGCAACTCGCCATTTGAATGGCCCTCTCCCTTCGAAAGGGTCCCGCATATTCCCGAGGAGGTTCCTTCCTTTTGGCACTTTGACTTGTTTCATACGTGGAATGCTGGTCTGGGCCGCGCGTGGGCTGGAAAGTGCTTGCGCTACTCTCGGGAACTATGCCGGAAGGAGCAATCGATGACCGATTTGAGCACCTGACAAAGGTCTACAAGCAATGGTGCACTGACAGTCTTTTGAAGCAGAGCCAATGTTGGTCAAATGCCAAGAGGCGAATGCTGCGGTGTCAGAATGCTTGCGGATGATGTACAGTTGTGATTGCTGGATTGATGCTAGCACTGCGTCCAGGATCGGAACCTTGGGCATGCTTTTCCTGCGTCGGTACCAAGGACTAGCTCACGAAGCCCTGAGACAGGGTAGATCTTTGTTTCCGATTTACCCAAAAGCTCATGCTTTTCATCGCGTGATGCTAAACCTCTTGAGAGGGCCCAGGACCGGCTTTGAGGTCGAAAGCCCTCTCAACTATGCGGCGGCGCCGGACGAAGACTTCATCGGCCGGCCTTCGAGAGTCAGTACAGTAGGAAAATTACAGGCAAAGATGTGTTGACTTTTAATGTAATTAATCGATACCGTTTAGCCGCTTACACGGAATGGGTCGATGCTGGGCATTTGTCAAGGCCGGTTGTGCCCTAAGGGAAGTGCTAATGTAGCATTTCATTTTGAACCTTGTTGTTTCTTCTCTAATATGTGAACTACATGTTTCCACTCTGAATGGATGTCCCTCATTGCGGCTTAGCTCCGGGCTTAGTCAGGATCGCGGGGAGCTGCTTGAACAAGAGCAGGAAAATGTCACATCAGCGCACCTTTGCTGAAATCTGCAAAAACGATGAAAACGCAAACCCCGGGTTTCCAGCGCAAACCTCGGGTATTTCATCGAATCCGATGTTTTCTTCGGGTATTGGCTTGGAAGGTATATATATATAATAGATAGATATGATTTTTTTTCAGCACTGACACATGAATACAAGCTGACTTAGAATGATGTGGTAGCTATAGATATGAACACATCCAAGCTACAGCCTTTGGACCACAATCATCGCTTCGACGATCGATGAGAGCACCACAGGAGTTCATCGACCACCTGCGGGCAAAGAACTTTCCAAAGGCCTCAGGTGGAACGTCCTCCGTGCGAAAGAAGACGCCGGCAGAGAAAGACGCATCCTCGCGAGGGAGAAAGGGACGGGAAACTCTTCCCATCAAAGAATGTGAGTGTGTGGTCGTGAAGTTGTAAACTGATCACAGATGGTAAAGATGAGGACGTGAGATGAAATGGACCACTGTCCACCAGTCGACGCAGGTGAGGGGATGAGATCTTTTAGATCTCGAGTTGTTTTTGCAAGTTTCCAGTCCATCTCAAAGCGGGGACCCGACAGTCAAAGCGGCGCAAAGAAAGGCTTTGGGTTTCAAGTTCGCAGGACGCATATCAGTCTTCGAGTTTGGCACAGAATGGGACGAACTAAACTGAACGAATTTTTCGCTGACATTTTCCATCAGATCAGACTTTTGTCCATGGACGACTTGTTCCTTCTCAGCAGTTTTCCCCATCCAGACCGCAGACCCTCCGGTCGAGTGCCACCGAAAACGGCACCACCATAATTTTGACACTAGCGACGTCGTCAGCAAGAAAAACCATGCACCAAGTCATTGGGGTCGACGCAGTTGGGTTCCCTCTCAGAGACATAATTTTGAAAGGCCTGTGGTTTCTTCAACATGAGGAACACCAGCGAGTTTGTCAGAACCATGTACCTCAACTTGTTTCATTCAGTGGAACCATTTGCCTCGATGTCACTGTGCTTATACTGAGAAAGCCATGGGCCGGCTACTGGTGCTTTGAATTTCAGCCCCAAGCTACTTGTACAGCACATTCTTTGAACGGCTGCGCCGTCGGCTCGTGCAGTTGACATAGTGATCTATGAATCTATCCCATCGTCAAGTATCGATTTTGATCCTTTGTTTCCATGGTTCAATCCACAGGTTTGCCTTTCGTGGAGTATCTGGATGGGGGCAAAGGCACTTTCAGGCATTCATTATGATTATGGCGTCAACAGTGAGACTCCCCAGCCATACTGCTGGCAATGCACATCCAGTGCTTGTGGTTTCCCCTCGTTTTGTTTGACAGAGCCATCGACTCGCATTTCAACCAGCTGCCCTAGCCATTTGGGATGATCAGGAATTGGCTCACCTGAAGTTGTAAGATGTTCAGCAAATCCTAGAAAGTTCATGTCAAGCTCAGCCATGTTTCAGCTCAGCCAAGTTTCAGGGGCGATCCATCCATTCTTAAAGAATCGCCGTAAAATAGAGGAAAAAAAGAGTCCAGAGCCACATGCCAGGGAGGACACTCCTTTCTAAATCTTGGAGCACAGCTGAGCTGGTGCAGGTGATTTACGCGCGCCTCGTATCCCACTTCGTTGTCTTAGCAATGGGTAGCCGATTGGAGCCAATTGGAGCGCAACGGGCTTTTTATGATGTTATATATTGGTTTCCAGGATGTTACTGTGAATACATGGCAAGACAGGACCTCAGATGGTTTTGATGTATAGCCTGGACCAACGGTAGACATTCTTTACGGCGGGTTCGTGGCCACCATGTCACCGCTTTGGCTTCGATATCCTGGCTACCCGATGCGGGTGTCGGGTTTGAACAAAACTTGGCCTGGGTTGCGCGCGGGCGGATTCGCCGAAACTCCAATCTCGCTGAGATAGGGTTGATCTCGCGGGAGCGACCCTTCCATGCGTTGCTCCCTGGAAGAACAAGGACATGTCCTCGACTCGAGAGTTTGCGAGTGAGGTCTGTTTGTTGCAGCTGTGTGCTTTTCTCCACGCTTTCATAGCTGTCCTGGCTGTCTGACCCAGCATCGACTAATGTCTGAGTGGTTGGTGTTGAGAGTCTAGGGCCTGAAGAATGTTGGGCCACAAAACGAGTGGCACTGGTATTCTTGCAGAACTTGACCCTAGGACCTTTTGGGTCTGTAGATTCGCGGTTTTCTTTCGCATTCTTTTGGCCCTACGTTGGCTTCAGACAGGCCTTTGAACGAGCTTTGAACGAGCTTCACTGGAGTGGAAGCTTGGCAGCTGCCTTTCCGCTGGCTTTTGGCCGGGAAAACTGCGGCCCTCAAAAGGCGTCGACCCGGGCACCATCCGCGGCGCCGGCCAAAAAGGTGCTGTCTCGTTCGGAGGTGTCGGAAGCTGGGAGGTCGTCACGGAGGTGGTCAAAGATGGACCTCATCCATTGCGGTTGGAACTAGAACCTGGCATCAGCCCATGATGAGGTGTCAAGGGATCTCCATCAGTCGTTCCGGTTCGGGTTCGGGTTCGGGTTCGGGTTCGCAACCGGACCGTGTGTGACCCGTTTGGGATTTGATCCGGTGTGAGAGAAAGGGTGCTTGAGCCTACCACTGTGATTCCCCAGCACGTTGTGCTTGATTCAGTAGTAACTGCAGTCCCAACGACGTTTTTTTTCCCCCGCTGAACCCATGGGAAAACGATGGAAGACTGGAGCCTGAGCAAGATCTGCTGAAAATTTGGCCTCCGGGAAGTGGGAGAAGTTGTAATTAAGCAATGCTGAAATTTGCCAGGGCAACTGGCTGAGCTTCCTGGGACAGAGAAGGTCCAGTATTCTTTTCCCTACAAGCTGACGAAGCATCAGCTTTAGACACCTTGCAGAACATCAGCTTCCAAAAAATCAAGAGCAACTCAACTTTTGTGCTGGATCCGTTCGCCCACATTTCTCCAGCATCTTTGCTGGGGCTCAGCACCTCCACCTCCACCTCCACCACTTACCCAGTACCTTTTCGGACCGCACGACCACCGACGGCGCGGTCCGCGCTTCCATCGCGGTCGATAGGTGAAGTGAGTGACTGGAAGGATCTGAGTGACCGACTGGGGTGCTCAACTGGCGCTTTGACCTGTTAGGCTATTTCGGGGGATGTCGAAGAGGATCTGGAGATTCCATGTTTAGATGACCCAGGAAATCTAAGCATGAGGCTTCAACGGAAGATTAGGTTTCAACATTTCCATAACAGATTTGTTTGGCAAGGCCACATGCGTAGTACATCATCAGCACACATACCGAACATATAAAACACTTGTGCGCAGCCGCTGGCCCTTTCAGCTCCATGGCCCAGCATCTCGACAATCTGAAAGCCGCTCATGCGAAGCTGCAGCTTCCGCCAGTTGCGCACGAACCATCGCGGCTGTATGAGTTTCAGATTTGGACACGGCCTTAAGCGCCGGTGGTTGCGCAAAAAAGCAAGAACATGGACACCTCGCTGAAGCGTTTGCAAGGTTCGAGCGACCTTCCAAGTGCAGGCATTGTGCAGTTGATGTTGATATATGTATATATATGTTGATTGTTCATGGATAAGACGTAGCAAAGTGCGTGTCCAGCCTGGTACCGCAAAAGTCTCGGACACTTCCAGTTAAGTGATTCAAGTCTCCGACACTTTGATTTGTTCGTTAGTTCCGTTTGGTTGTCAATGAAGGGGCTGCTCCAGGTGGGTTCCAGGTTTTTGGTCGATTGATCTCGAGATCACCGGAAGCAAAGACCTCCATTCGACCGAGAGTCTGTGGAAATCACTCCCTGAAGGAGGCACAGATGCTCCATGATGCTCCCAGTGTCTCATGCTCTTCAAGAGAACATGTTGGCAAAGCCCGTTTCTTCCACCCAGGGAGTGAGGGACCTACTAGGTCCAGGGACTCGACCGGACCGGCAACCCGAGGCGGAAGATGGACCGTCCGGAGCTCTTGAGGCGTGGCTACTACAACGAGGCACCGCGGCTTCGGAGCGAGAGAAGAAGCCGGTGGCTTGGGGGCGCAACCTTGCAGGGTTCGTTTGCGCGCCCTATATGCGAGCTTTCGAGCGGAGTGGAGGGTTGACAAGAGCTCCCTATATGGGATGGGAGCGAGTTGGAAACTGAAAAAGCCATGGGTGAAAAAGGGCTTTTTGGCCAAAAAGGAAAAGGATACATGAAGGTCTGGTGACCGGTGGTCTTTATGGTGAGACATCAACACAGATGGCTCTACGTTTGGGTGGTCGAACTGCAGCAGTTGATGGGGCCCGCCATTGACCTGTGGGCAAATGGCTCATAGGTTTTAACTCTTTCAATCTCTCGACGGCATCAGACACGTCTAATAATAGGTTTCTATGCTATCACAGGTTTTCGATGGCATAATAGGCTCTCATAGGTTTCTATGCTATCAAATCCAACAATCAGCTCGCAACTCAGAAAAACCTTTGGGACGCCGAGATGTGATCTCAGACGGAATACGATCCTTTCAGAACCAGGCTTCTTATATACTGATCCCGATGCAGTCAAGTGTAAATTTAGGAGCTATCTGGGTTTGCACTTCGATTCAGGGGTTTGTTTTTGTGTTATTATCTTTTGAGAGGCAGGGTAATTACATCCCTCAACTTGCGAAGATGCATGCGAAGCGATCTATTCAGATGACTGGTCGTCACAAGCCGGCTTGTGCCGGGGTTTTCCGATGCATCCTGATTCGATTCATCGTGGAGCTCAGGATCAGACCCAAGACTTTGAATGGTGTTAACATAAAATTCCAGCTTCTTCAAAGTGACCTTTTGAAGGTTCCATCCAGTGACCCGAAAAGGAGACTCAAGTGACCGAACCAACCAGGTTATCAAGTACGGTCACTTTGAAGAACCAGGTTCATTGATCTTGGTTTGTCCTCAAATCTCTGAAGATGTGCTTTGCAGTGGATCAACACCCGGGTTTCGATCGCCCCACCGTCCGGTGGGGCGCTCTTTTGGGTGACCTCGTTGGGGGGCTCGCCTTCAACGTTCAGGTGAATGAGGACGCCTGGCCCGGCCCCTTCGAGGTGAGCAAGTGCGATATCTTGTGGAGTGGAGACTCAATGGGTTAAAGCTTCAACAACAAAGTGGTTATGGTTGATCATGACCTTACGCACATGTTACCATCAGCATATTATCCGTAACCTTTTTAATCATGTCACATGTCAATCATTTTGGTTTGAAAGATAGAAGAGGACATCATGGCCTACATGGATAAATTCTGCTGGATAGACCTTGTGCAGGCGGCATCAAACACCACTGTGCTGTTGGGCTGCCCAGCATCTACAAGATCCATAGAACTGGAATATGATCTCAACACATTCCATGCACGACCGTCACTCGTGACCAACATGTTTATAAATATGTCTATATACAAGATGTCCAAGGAACACCCCAATCCCCCTGATGAAGGCTTAACATGGACCCCACCGCACTGGCTTTGCTGGGCCTTTCTTAGTTTTCAAGATGCCAGTTGTTGCCATGTTTGGATGGTGATCCCCATCCAGAATGCTTTGGACTTCACATTTCTACCACCTGCCACAGCTTCCGGAACTTGCCGGAACCGCTCCAAGATGCCGCAGGATGTGTTCATCTACATCATTTGTCAGGAGGCTGCAGAGCTCCCAAAGATCAGGCTCAACAAGCGCTCGCTTGGACCGGTGGAGGAGATAATTAGGGATGGAAACAGGTGCGGCTCGGTTTACCGGCTCGCTGCGGCTCGAGTGAGTGAGGCCCCCACCACGGCTGCTTGGGCTGTTTAAAACAAATATTTTGGGACCACTTTGTTTGGCCTTTCAGAACAAGCGTTTGACCTGCACATCAACCTCCTTATCCTTGGCGATGCCGCGTGGGTGGGACCCATTTCAGCGAAGTTTCGGCGTTTGGTTCATTCTTCATGACCCTCGTGGTGCAAAGGCGCCCGAAGGGGAGGTTTCTCATTGGACCTGGTCTCGGAATTAGACGTCCGTTTCCAAAATGGATGGAGTGGAGTTCGGGGGGGCATTCCCTGACAAAAGGTGCACAAATGGTATGAAGCCGGGGAGCTAAACTGGTCCACCCACACGCCCCATCCGCACATGTTTCTTGTCGAGGGAGCTGCTTTTTCACATTCATGGCTTCTCACTGCTTTGAGGCAAGAATACACAGCTTATCAGTGAGGGTTCCAAGTGAGAGGGCCTAAATACAGACGCTGGTGGTGTACGTGGTGGGCCCTTTCTTTGGCTTGGAGCTTTGTTCGACCGATGTGGCCAGGAACTACATCGAGAAGGCTGATGCTGTTGCCACCAGGCACGATTTTCGTGCAATGGGCGGTAGATTGCAGTTGCCACACAGGTCGAGCACTCGGGGCTGTTTCTCTTTGAACTGGCTCTTGGACCTACAGATTGACCAAGTGGATGGCCAAAACAGGTTCGTGCCGGGCTTCGGGATTGTACCGCGTTGACCGTTCATGATTCTCACGGCTTCGCAGATGATGACACGAGCGTCTCACAAGCTTCTCACGAGCTTCACAGCGTGCAGTGGAACAACAGCTGCTCAAAGGACTCGAACTCGAAGGACCGCCTGCGCATGCCTGCGCGGCGTGCACCGCTCAAAGCGCACACGTGCACGGCCCAACCGCACGCTTGCGAAACGTGTTTCGAGTGCCAATGCCCGTGCAATGCGTGCAACGTGGGCTTTGCCCGTGCACGGGAGGCAGGGCCGAGTCTTGCGGCACGTGCTCTTCAACCTGAACCTCAACAAGTTGAGGCCTGGAGCGACGCATTCCACGCGCGCGCCCACGGAGAACTTGGACGGTATATGGCTGGCTGTGTTGGACGAAGTAGAGGTGAAGTTTTGGATGAGAGTTGTTGTTTGCTTTTGGGCTTTCCAGGCCGTACCTCACAAACACCTGCGAGTTCGTTCCAGGTCTGACATTGAGTTCCAGCAGCGCTTGCTTCCGTTCCAGCCTGGGCAAGCCACAGCCAGGGCCAGGAAAACTCAGAAAGCCAGGGCGAGGGCATTGGCAGGTGGACAATTCAGCCCTCAAAGCCATCCCGAAGTGGAAGCATGTATACATACATTGTCATGAGTCATACAGTCATACAATGTCATACATTTGTATAAATACGCACGACGATGAGCGGAAGAAGACCCACTTCGCTTGTGGGGAAACATGCTTATGACATGTTTGTGACATAGGTTTGAGAGCAGACCCACTGCCATAGTGTGTGTGTATCAGAATAGGCAGATAGTCAGGGAAAACCCTGGGGTGGTGAGAACAGCGACAAAGAATACGAGCAAACCCATACCCAGACACTCCACGTATGCCATATTAATATGTACTTCCGGCCCCGGATATTAAGACGACCAAACGAATACTCGAGTTTTGAATAGTGTTTGGGCTCAAAGGTTGATGCATCCCTGCTCGCTGTGTCGGATCCAGTGCGCCGACACAGATTCGATCTGCATTTTTTGCAGGGCGCGGGATCGCTTTTGGAGGAGCCTCGACCTTCTTCCTGTTCGAGCTCGCGGCTGGGGACTCCAGAATCTGAGGATCTGGACAGGCATTGTAGAAGAGGAGTTAGAGCGGCTTGCAGAAGCAGAAAAACAACAAGCTGCAGCCGAAGGAACCGCCGCTCCTAAATCGGGGAGTGCTGTGGTGAGTGACCCCAAGCCCACTGAGAAGGTCGACAAGAGCTGGCTCAAGCCTAAAGAGGAGCGAGCTCCCAGTCCGGGGACCTCGAGACCGGGCCTTGTGGAGATTGGAGGAGACGAGGAGGAAGGTAAGTTCTCCAGTGGCTCCAAGCCGGAGAAGGAGAAAGAACGCCACCGGTCATCAAGGCGAAGGTCGTCAAGGAGGAGCCGCAGTAGGCGCCACTCGCACCGATCCCGAAGCCGGAAAGACAGGAAGAGGAAGAAGGCTACCTCGTCAGAAGGTAGAAGAAAGTCTCCCAGGAAGGAGCCCGAGGGTGAGAGAGAGAGGAAGGTGAAGCCCAGTGTTCGACCACCTCGTACACCATCCAGGCCACCGCCAAGGAGATCACCACCGAAGCCCAAGCCACCTAAGAGGTTGCCTGTGGCCAAGGCCAAGCAGAGGCCGACCGGAAGAGATTGGCAAGGTCCTGCCACAGGTTGGAAGCTTGACCCATCCTATTACGGAGTGAACAAGGGAGTGAAAAAGCGAGAAAGGCATTATCAGGGGGATCAAGGAGGTCGTTGAGCCCTTTTACCTCATCAATGCCACCCAGAGCTAGACCAGCAGCAGACCTTCGTCGAGCTGGAAGAGAGGGTCCTCCCATTCGGGGAGGAAGGATTCGGAGAAGGCCGGCAGCCAGAGCAGAGGTTGCAGAGGACGACAGAGAGAGAGGACGAGGAGATCCAGGAGTTATTCGTGATACCAAGCTCATCGACGAGTTTGAGAAGGGTGAACAGTTGAGATGTCAAGACATCCCACTGTAGGCATTCAGGAGAGGAGTTGCGGTGCTGATAGAAGGAAGTTATTGGGGGGCCAAGGCATCAGTGGCCGGGACGCTGCAAGACATTCATGTGCGGAGCCCATCGGACATAGAGGTTTCCTTGAAGCTCCAGGGGACCGACGAGGAGAACCTACTACGGTGGGCTACCGGGAACCCCCTGGAGGTGCTACGTGTGCATCTTTGCGGAGGAGCCTGCCTGGAGCGCCTCGAAGCAGAGAACCTCCTCCACGGCGTCAGCATCAGCAAGAGGGTGAAGGAAGATTTGCCGTGGATGAGCAACCTGATGGAGGCAGGAGATCCAGTGAAGAAGCCCCCAGAGACAGGCCTCCCAAGCGGGGAGGCCAAGGGGAAAGAAGGCGGAGATCGAGAGAAGGAGCCCGAGAGAGGTCACAGCAAGAAGAGAGAGGGAGGAGAAAAAAGGAAAAGGAAGAGCTGCGCCCGAGATCGGAGCCGAGGACGCTCAAGGGAAAAGATAAGTTTGAAGGGAGGAGCAAAGAAGAAGCTGGAGGATGTCCTGGGGGGCACAGGGATGTCTCCCGATCCAAGGTTTCGCAAGAAATATGCCAGCAAAGCCCAGAGGAGAATCAAGAAGAAAAGAAAGTCTTCCTCAAGCAGCAGCTCGAGCAGCAGCGGCAGCTCCTACAGTGGGGAGTCAGCCGAAGTCTTCGCGGAAGAACACAAGATCCGCCGGATTGCAAAGAAGGCACCGGGCCTCTTGTCAGCGCAGGCGCTCAAGGAGATGCAGGGTGCTTTGCTCACGAGCACCGGAGGGATCTGGCACCAGGAGGATCGAGTCCGAGCTGCACCCGCTTGCGATCCAGTACTACAGGCAGGCTATGGCGCCTCGCCTTCAAGGGGCACCGTCGAGAGAGGCATTGACGCTATGCTTTGCCATCGACCTGATCTTGCAAGGCCGAGTGGCCGAATCGGCCGACTGTCTAGTGCAGAGGTTGAAGTCGATCGAACTGGTGTCACAGGGGGCAGCGTGGCAAATAGCGCAGCGGCTCGAGGTTTTGCCTCCGGAACGCCCAGTGATTTCTACGAGAAGCGAAGCCAAGGAGGCAATCAGAGAACAAAAAGAGGAGTCGAAAACCAAGTCGGAGGCTTCCCAGGTGAGGGGCAAAGGAGAGTCATGGAGGAGCACTTCGTGGACCGAGAGCGGAGGAGACGTCAACAGAAAAGGAAAAGACACGAAAGGCCGTGGAAAGAAAGGGAAGCAGAAGGAAGAGCCGAAGAAGTGGGAGAAGAGAGAGGAGAAGTAAGGAGGGAGGCTGAGTATGAGCCGCCTGCAGAGGGAGCTCCATTTGAAGGGGAGCTCATCGAGGTGGAGCCGGGCGCTGACCTGGAGCTTTTTCCGAAGATGCTGACCTCTGGACGTCACGTCGGCGAGGAGGCCAGTAGCGCAGCTGTGGCAGATGTGAGGCCGGGTATTCTGCCTACTTCCCTGCCGATCCCAGGCGAACGACTGAATGTGGTCGCGCTTGAAAAAGAATGCATGAAGCCGCCAAGTGCTGGGGATAGTTTAGCCGAAGCCATTCCGTGGGTGTTGAGCATGCTGGTTCATACGTGTGAGAACATCGGATTCGACCTGCACTGCAAGGCCCAGCCCAAGGGCGACGTCTTCCCGTTGCCCACCAGCATGGCCTACCTCAAGGAGATGGTGGAGGCGCCTGAGCAAGAAGTGGTGATAGTGAGGGGCATGTGTTGTGCGTTGAATAGCTTCTATGGGGAGTCCGTTGAGAATTCTTTTTATCCAACAAAGGTGCAGAGGCAGGTAGTTAAGGGGTTACATAAGGAGGCTCAAGTGGTCATGGGATGGCCTGAAAGATTGGAAGAAACCTCATGGAAGAGTTTCTTTGAGTTAAAGACCATTGATTATTGCGGGGATGAAGTCTTGTGTGCTCGGCCAACGTCTTGGAGCAACCTCGCCCCAGCGATGCCTGCAGAAGTGGCATCAGTGGAGCTGTCAGAGGTTTGTGAACTTGGGTGCAAACACTATGTAGATCATTTTTTGGACTACCTCCTACCAGGGGAGGTCCAGAGGAAGATGAAGCCCCCACGGGTGTTGGTCCATGATGACAATTGGCTGGAGGTCTGCAAGGGCCTATTGGAACGGGGAGTATGCACTCCTATCCATGTGGACGATGTCTATCAGGTTGACGGAGCGCCCGTACTCAACGGCCTCTTTGGCGTGCCCAAGGACGAAGAGGCTGAGGGCATTCCAATCCACCGCCTGATTATGGATCTACGGCCGTGCAACCTGGTGTGCCGCGCGCTGGAAGGAGACGTCTCGACTCTACCGAGTTGGGCCACGATGGGACCACTGCAGATCATGCCCACGGAGAACCTTGTCGTGTCCTCTGAAGATGTGCGGTGTTTCTTTTATATATTCAAGGTCCCAACTGAGTGGAGAAGACTCCTCGCGTTCAACAAGGTCCTTCCTCGAGAGCTATGGCCAACCCATGATGGTCCTTATTACATGGCATCTCAGGTGTTACCCATGGGGTTCAAGAACTCGGTGAGTCTAGCACAGCATGTGCATCGCAACATCGTACGACGAGCTGCTCTACGGATCCCAGGCAGTCTTGAAGGATCAGGAGAGATTCGCAAGGACAGGCCATTCTCGGGGGCCTCGACCCTTCATCGGATCTACCTGGACAATTTCGACCTGCTGGAGAAGATGGACCGCAAGACTGCTCAGCTCCTACAAGGGGAGCCGAGCCCAGCGCTCTTGGCCCTGAGGGCTGAGTACGAGGCGTGGAGAATCCCGCGTCATCCCAAGAAGGCCGTGTGCAGAGCAATGAAGGCTGAGGTGCAAGGCGCTATCATTGATGGAGAGGCCGGAGTGGCCTACCCCAAACCGGTGAAGATCTACAAGTATGTCGCCTTGGCCATCCTCCTGCTTCAAGAAGAGTCATGCAGTCAGAAGCAGGCTCAGGTGGTCGCCGGGGGGCTGGTGTACATCAGCATGTTCCGACGTCCAATGCTGGGTTGCCTGAACCAAGTATGGCAGTTCATCGAGAGCTTTCGAGGTTATCCGTCCTTCATCAAGTTTGCCATCCCAGAGGGAGTCAAGCTCGAAATTGCTAGATTCATCTGCCTGGTCCCGCTGGCCAAGCTGAACTTTCGCCTCCTAATCAGCGGGGAGGTTACGGCTAGTGACGCTTCTACCACAGGGGGAGGTATCACCGCAAGCGCAGGCCTGACAGGTTTTGGCCAGGCAGCAGCCGGAGCGAAAGTACGAGGAGATCTGGCGGATCCCAGTGACCTGACGGCCATACTCACCATAGGGCTATTTGATGGGATAGGTGCTTTGCGAGTCGCCGCAGATGCTCTTGGATTGGGAGTGATTGGTCACATCAGTGTGGAGGTGAAGAAGGAGGCAAGCAGGGTTCTTGAGAGTCGCTTTCCTTCCACCCTCTTCGTGGAAGGTGGCGTGGAAGTCGTGGACAATGAAATGGTGCGGTCTTGGGCGGCTAGGTACTCTCAAGCAGCAGTGGTTCTCATTGGAGCTGGACCACCATGTCAAGGTGTGAGTGGACTCAACTCCAACCGACGTGGAGCACTCCGCGATCACCGCAGTTGTTTGTTTAGCCACGTGGCGCGAATCCGCGACTTGGTGAAGGTGCATTTCTGTTGGGCGCAGGTCCGTTACCTGGCCGAGAGTGTCATGAGCATGGATGAGGGCGACCGGAAGGTTATGACGGAGTCCTTTGGCGACATTCCAGTCTCTATTGATGCTGCAGGAGTGTCACTTGCCCGACGACCTCGCCTTTACTGGTGCAATTGGGAACTGCTCCCAGGTCGGGGAGTAACAGTCCACACTCCTGTTGGAGCGGGGAGTGCTCAGTATCGGACGGTGGAGCTTCATGCCCAGGTGAAAGCCGAGCTCTTCCTCTTGGAGGGGTGCCAACGTACATCGGAGGGGCCGCTCCCAACCTTCACGACCTCACGACCCAGGGATAACCCCGGCCGCAATCCCGCAGGCCTTGACACCCTAGATGACGGAGAGCGCCTGGCATGGGAACGGGACCGATATAGGTTTCCGCCATACCAATATCAGCAAAAGAACCTTGTGAAGGAGCCAGGAGGTGGCTTGAGGCTACCGAGCATTGTTGAGAGGGAGGTCATCATGGGTTTTCCAAGGGATTTTACATTCCAGTGCATGAGCAAACAGTTCCACGGTACCGAGGCTCACCTTGACGAGCGCAAGACACTAGTAGGGAACACGTGGAATGTCACCGTGGTGACCTGGTTGCTTTCGCAGCTGGGAGCTCAGCTGGGACTATGTTCATTCCTGAGTCCGCAGGATGCGGTGGATTTGACTACACCAGGGACGAGCACTACCGTTGCGGGACTTTTGCAGAGACCGCCGCTGAATGCTCCTACAGCAGAGGGGAGCTGTCCTGGCAGCCTGATGCTTGTTGAAAAACTGTTGAATCTGGTCAGCTTGAAGGGCGAAGATATCATGATTCAAGCCCAGTCGGAGGAGACGCTCAAGTATCATCGCCTTCGAGCGAGCTTGCCGGCAGGCCTTTGGAAGTGGAAGACCATCACTGGATGGCACTGGCGCGGCAGCACTGAGCACATCAACGTGCTTGAGATGAGGGCCGTGCTTACCACTCTCAAGTGGCGCATCATCAAGCAGAAGACCTTCCACTCAAAATTTATCCATATGATCGATAGTCTTGTGTGCCTACATTCTCTGTCACGTGGACGAAGCAGCAGCAGGAAGATGAGAAGGACGCTTTGTCGAATAGATGCTTTACTTCTAGCTTCTGGCAACCATGGAGTATGGGCGTATGTCCATACTTCTCAAAACCCAGCAGATCGGCCGTCCCGGCGGCCAGTTCGCAAAAAATGGTGAGAAGACAGGCAGCGCACCTGGAAGGTAGAAGTAAAGCAGCAAGGCAGGAGCAGAGAAGACGCTTAGGCCCGCTGAGGAATCTCTCAGTGCAGAGCAAGACAAGGGATCGATACAACAAGGCATTGGATAAATACAAGAGCTATTTAAAAGATGAGGGACGTGTTTTCCCAAGAGAAGCATCTGGTCATGACTACCTCCTCTCGCAGTACATAGAGTTCCTTTGGGAAACGGGCGAGGGCCGCGCCCTTGCCTGTGACACCATTGCCTCTGTACAAGACCAACAGCCGGCACTCAGGGGGCACCTCCCCAGCGCGTGGAGATTGATGAGGACCTGGCAGACAAATGAAATACCAAACAGAGCACCGCCTCTGCCAGTGGAAGCCTTGCATGTTCTCGTTGGATACGCACTTTTCTCTGGAAATAGCCTTTTTGGACTTTCCCTACTCCTTGCTTTCCATGGGCTCCTACGCACCGGGGAGCTCCTGGGCATTCGAAAGACTCATGTCACCCAAGTTGGCCCCAGGTCACCGGCCGTCATTTCACTTGGGATGACGAAGGGAGGAAAGAGAGTAGGGGCAAGTGAAAGCGTGACCATCAGAGAGGAGGAGACCCTTCGACGACTTTGGCAGTGGCTACACACGCCTAATACCCCGTCACTGCTCTGCGGCACAGCGCACAGTTGGAGAAAGACCTTCAATGACGCACTAGAAGCATGTCAGCTTGTTGGGCACGACTTTCGTCCTTACAGCCTTCGCAGAGGAGGGGCTACCATGTATTTCGGACGACATGGCTCGCTGGACCGCCTCCTAGTTCAGGGGAGGTGGGCCTCTTCAAAGACGGCCCGTATCTACATCAACGAAGGTTTGGCCGTTCTTGCTGAACTTCAGCTGACTTTTAATGCACCAGCCAAAGCATATGCCCGACAATACAACAAGTCCTTGATGTCACCGCTCCAAACCCTTGAGCTTCCCCAAAAGGGGAGGCCAGGGGGACGTGGAAAGAAGCCTAAGAAAGGCAAGAAAAGACACCACAAGTAGCTCAT